AAAGCTGAGGTTTAGCGCCACTAAGCTACAAAAATGTTAGAAAGAAAAAAGAAGAAGAAAAAGGAAAGAGCTTCCTGAGTTCTAAGTAAACAAACACTAAGTCTCTGCCCGCCAGAGGCTTAAAAATGTGAAGCATAATGACATTTCCTCTTTTTAAAAGGACCACACAGGGCACTCAAAGAGAAACACACCTCGTGATAAAAGCCAGAGAGGATTAACCTGAACAAAGGGAATGGAATTTTCCGGCAATAGGCAATGCCCTTTATAGTCTGGCAAGGTGTAGTATTTCTACAGAGAGACATGATTTGGAAAGATTTGGCGAGGTCTTCCAATTTTTAATGTAGGAAATTGCATAGAAATGTCTTGGCCACCAAATATCTAGATGGCAGGAAGGAGAAAAGTTTCATGGAGATTTGGGGGTTTTATAAATATTTATACATATACCCCTCCCTAACACACATATAAAAAAATCAGTAAGTAACCAACCCCAAACTGGGATAATATGCATAAAACCACGAGACAAAGGGTCAACACCCTTCATAGAGGGAGTTATTATAAATTATGAAAAACAGCAACATCAGTTAAAAAAAAAAAGGAGAATATTTAACACAAAGCCAAAAGACATCAGGGTTAATAAAATAGAACTGTATGTTTTCTAGTAACTGAAGAAAGGCAAATCTACACAGCTAGATGCCATTTTTCTGCGACTATGGGAGGTACAACCAGAAGCAAAGAGTGGGAATCCTAAGGAAGGAGGTCGTGGCTCATTTTGAAGAAAACAGAAAGACCTACATGTGAGACCTGGCTCTCACACTGGGAGGACGGAACTAAGCTTCCTCCACACTGAAATGCTGACAAGAATTTATGTTAAATGAGTGTAAGCCTAGAAGTTTCCAAATGAACCCAAGAGCAAATTGAAATCATACAGTCTTGGGCCACAACTCTTCCTGCACTGGGAGTACTTTGAAAAGCAAGATGATAAAGAACGAGTTCTCCCACTGTTGTCATTTCCAGAAGGAAGGGAAAAAGATATATTTATGTCTATACACATAAAGACAAGATAATTAATTATACTGCTGGTTTTTGCTGGTCTACTGAAAGAAGCAGTTAATGCTTATTTTTTCCTCCTTTTTAATTTCTTTGAGCTTTTATTTTATTTATTTTTTTTTTACTAATTTTGCATACTTATATCTGGTTATCTAAAAACTCATCTGAAGATAACACTATGCAATACAACGATAATTGGCAAATTTATTTTATATTGTTCAGTGAAATTTTGTATCATTTCTTTTTTTTTTTTTTTACTATTTTGTATTCTCCTTAAAAAAGAAACAAAACATTAAAAAAGAAACTATTGTCATTTCCTCCTTGTCCTCCTCATACTTCAAAGCAAAGAGAAATTTATTTAACATAAACTCTGCAAATTTTTCTACCTAAGAGTTAATGCAGATTTAAAGAACTGTATTTCCTGTCCTAGAGGGCAA